ACTTTTTTTTTAATTCACACAATATTTTTAATGGATTTTAATTTTGAAGAATAGTGTTTATAAAATATTTTTACAGACATCCTAAAGCTCCAATGAAAACCATCATGGATAGGAGAGATTTCGATGAAACCCTATTTATGTCCAATGGTTTCCACTTTAAGTAAATGTGGAGAGATAAAAGTTTTCTTCAGGCTCTGTGAGAAGAAGATCAAATTGATTCAACTAAATGACTTTCTTCCAAATGAATCGTGACAAAATAAAATTGTCGGAATATTTCTGGGTAATAAAGCTGAATATAAAAGTTATTTTTATTTAGATTTTATTTTATCTCCAAGTATGGTGAAATAATAAATATTGTAAAATAAAAAAATTATTTGTAACAATAGTATATATAGAGGAATAATAATTTTATTCAAATATTAACTTAAATATTACCGACAACTTAGAAAAACTATATTTGTCTCAAAGTCTACTCGCGTGGAAATTGAATCTGGGCGCTAGCCACGACAGTGGTCGAGCAATCGACCTCAGGTGGAAGTTGGGCATTGTTCGGGCTTCTATCTAGGTTCCAGTACCAGAAACATCAGGGTGTTTTCTTATTAGTAACTTTAACCTTCTATTTGAATTATTGTGTAATTACTATATGGGTGATTCTCCAAAAAACCTCATTTTACATGTAATCAAGATTTTCTAAATAATTATAATCATTTGGGAAAATACCAAGTCATATTTCCCTATTTTATCACTTTTTCTAAATGTTCTGCAAGAAAAAGTTGTAAAATTTTATTGTTTAATACATTTTTAAAATATTTTACCACCTCAAAATCGATTTTCTAACCTGTCATCTAAGTGCTTTTCATTTTTTCAATAGGTAAAACAATTATTTAAAACATGAAAATTGGTACTTTATTAATTTTTTCTAAAAGTTATGATATTTAAGAATAATTTTCAAAAATATAAATAAAATATGTCGTGTAGTTTTTTTAAATATAGAAAATGAAATTTGTCATGTAGTACCGCGTCATTCCTCTCACTCGTTGAATATTATCCAATATTTTTGCTGTGCGTAGAGATATTGATTAATTATTGTGATCAATATTTAAATTAACATCTCTAATATTAATTTCTTAAGTTACTTTTTAAAAAATGTCATTATTTTGCGTTAAAAAAATTAAAATTGAGACATAAGCAGAGATTCACAACCTAAAGCGTCATTCCTCTCACCCCTAATAAAAACAATATTAATATATATAAATTGATCGCAAATTTTTTTCACATAAAGTTATCCTTTATAAACATGATAGGGCATTCTAAGCTGGAGGAAAATTATTTGTCAATTAAATAAAATTAAAAAATGTTGAAATCGTCATTCCTCTCACCCGTCATTCCTCTCACTTTTTTGAATAAAAATTAAAAATTGATATGATTGTCGGTTGTTTACAAACTGCCAGTGAAAAGTGAACCTAAAATGTATGAAAAATAATTTTTGACAATTGTTTAAAGAGATTTTTGATAACTGTAAGTATTTCAAAATCTATAAAATTTACAGATAATAGTAATAAATTATAATTTTTAAATAATTTTTTGTAAATAGAAAAATATATATAATAAAAAACGCCGGCGCCAAATTTTAACCTCTTAATTTTTTTGTAAATTTTAATTTAAAATATATACTTTAAAAGCTAAAAGTTAGCATGATCATGCTATAGAGGTGGTAGATTTTTGAAAGCTCAATATAATTGACTGCATTAATCCATAAATAATAATTTTTTTTCTTTTCTGTTTGTAACTCACAAAAAGGAGTATTTCGGGAGAATCACCCATATAATGTATTTTACTAATAAATATAAAAAATGAATTTTTATTTGTTGTGGAACTTGATCTAGTTTCAAACTAATCCGGATTTATATGACGAATTTTAAAACTTTCTAATATTTGATTTTAAGATTTGCTATTGATTTTAAAAAAAAATTTAGCCTACATTTTATATATTTTGTTGACTTTGTGCAATGAAGAAATATCTACTGAAAAACTGAAAGCAAAGAGATGCAAATGTTAAACCCGTGCCCATCCTTTTTGTGCGACATACATATACTATTTTTGCATTCATATTTATACGAATAAACTGCAAAGAGCAATGACTCTAGTGAATTTTTTTATGTTTTTACAAGCCCAAAAAAGATGTATAATAGAAATACAGAAAAAAAATCTGAAAACTACCATAGACTTGAATTTTTTAAACTTCAACCCTCAAAAAAATATATCGATCTCAATTGTTATAGCAACAAGTATTATCATATAGGAGAGTTTGACACTTAAGGTCAAAAACGCGGTCACATATATACCCGTCATGATGCAATTCACTTAATATACATAGGTATTCAAAAAACAATTCACTTTTTTATCGATTATAAATGCATTACACAACTGTACAGGAGATTCATGACCGTATTTGCAATGCATCTGTAACTGACGCCATAACTCACTTCAAGTATAAAATTGTACTGAATTTCAGAAGAAATAAATATCGTTTTCAATGAGGAATATTTTTTTCACGTTCAAATAGTATGAAAATAAAATCATTCGGCATCGGCGAAATTCAAATTAAATTATAATGTTTTAATGGTGTTATTAGGAACAAAATGTTAATTAAAAAATATAAATAAATATTTATTATGTCCTTATTAATTTGAAAAAAACATTTATCAATAAATGCAAACGATAATTGAAAGTTGCTTTTATTTTCAATCACAATTGCTATTAATTTAATGTTTATGATTATTCATGAGATGAATGCTAGAGGTGTAAAACAAGGGAAACATCTAGGTGAAGACACATATTAATTAAGGGGAGGTTCTCATTGCGGGGGCCAAAATAAACACAAAATTTGACAATTTTTTGCGAGGAACGGCTATGACTTAACGATGTAATTTTTTTTCTAAATAAAGATACATTCTTAAACTTTTAAAATATATATTTCATTTTCAAAAAAATGCAAAATGGCGGCCAATATGGCGCATCTAGAAAATAATGTTTTTTTAAATAGGGAAAACGGTGGGCATTCTACACTGCGCAATTTTTAGTCTAAAACAAAAACTCAAAATTTTTTATAAAGGTGACATACTAAAGAATAGGTTATACCTATAAAATAGTTAAAAAGTTTATAAAATGGCAAAATGGCGAACACATTTTTTAAAAAAACTGCGTTATCGCATTATTTTTCCATATTTGACCTCTTGTAAAAATCTCTATTGTTAACAATTTTATCATATTATAGGTATAACCCCAGTAGAATTTAGTTACCTTTAATTATCCGCAAACCCAAAGTTGATTGATTAAATAGTTTAGACGCTACGATGCCCACCAGTTTGAAAAATCTTGTTTCGAGAAAAACGCGTTTAAGGTTTGAGAAACATTTTTGTGCAATAATTGTATTCTTTGCAATTCTTTGTTCAATTTGCGTATATGATAAATATCTATAGGTATTTAGGGTCGCTCTTTACGATTCTGAGGTCAGATTTGCAAAATTTTCAAAAATTGATTCGATTTGCCTGACATTTGTTACTCAGTGCTCGGGACGGCGGTGAGTTCAAGACTTCATAAAAACGAAAATATTCTTCGGATCAAAAAATCGCTATACACACATATTCTACATATATATATATAGCTTTAAAAAAATACAATAAAAAAGAAATCAATTTTTTTGACTCCCGCAATGGGAACCTCCCCTTAAAGCTTTCAGCAAGTTTTATCGTTCCACGAAATGTTCTCATTTATTACTGATTGAATGAAAAATTTTAAACGCAGTTAAGTTCAGTCTAGATTAATTTCATTTACAGCAGATAAACAGTGTCAAAATTTGTTTCTAGACCATTCTATAGTTCATTATTCTTTTAAATAGGTATACTTACTAATTAATTTTGTACTAGAAAAAAATTTGAATTCAATTTCATATAATAATAATTATAGATAGGCAATCTCTTAATTGTATAAACTAAAAAAAATTCTATGCTAAAATAGACTTAAAAAATCGGTTCAATTTTCAGAAAAATATGTGGCCAAAAACTGTTATTTTATATTTTGTGTTTGCCTTTAAATTTAATAAATAATTGTATAACTTTCCTCCAATTTTTACAAACCTAGCTATAGTAATGTTTTTTAAAAATTTTTTGTACGATGTAGAATGTTAAATTTTGTTAGGGATTTAGTACCAAAGTACTAAGTTTACTTAAGTACTTTATTGTACCAAAGGGATTTGTTCTCGTGAATTTATGCAAAGTAAGAAAAGATTCATATTAGTCACAGGAAAGTATGGGAATCACATAAGTTCGTCTCTCTCGCACTCATAGGCTATGACTGACATGAAGCTTTTTCTTCTGTATAAATAAATAAATATCAAAAATTCAATTCTGTTTAGAAAGTTTTAAAAAAACACAGTATAGCCATTCAATAACTTTTGAATACATTTATTAAAAATTTTATCTTATTTATCTCTATTTGAACGAAATTCAAATCAATAGTATAAACTCGGAAAGAATGTTAAAAAGTACCTAAGATAAAATTGCAGATAAAAAAATTTGGAGCAAATAGCAACTATTTATTGAACTTAAAGAAAAATATACAAAAAGGTGAAAAATTTTAATTTATTTAATTATTAAAATAATTATTTGTTAATAAATTTTGTAAAAAGTTAACTTTTTTAAAATTACACAACTCTAAATAAAGTTTTATTTCGAGTCAAAAGTTTTTTGGTTTGAGGTTTAAACCTCAATAAAGAATTATTTAAAAATATAAAACGTTTTTTATAAGAGGAAAGGACATAAAAATACCGTGATATATAAAATACATTTGAAACTATATAACAGCGCATGAAGAGAGAGCAGCTGTCCTAACCTACCATAATTTTGAATGTCACCTCTGGCCAAGCGCGAAAAATCTAAATTCGAAATGGTTGACTTTATATATTTTAAATTTATTAAAACCAATGAATAGATTTCTACCTGAGACAAATCGGGATCATCTTCAATTTTTTTCTTGATGCCCTCACTCGACGCATGTCCTCCTGCGATTACAATGAGAAAAAGAAAAGCCGGTAGACACATTGTTAACACTTTTAAACTCATTTTTCTTCTTCTAATTGTTCCTTACTGTTTTGTCACAAGACACTAAAAATCACTCACTATATACCTAAATTAAACGAATTTACTGATGTAAAAAAGTTTTCATTTATCTGGACGAGAATGAATTTACACGTATATTTAAAATCAGGAACTAGACAACACTTTTATACAACATTCACCACCTAGAATATACTTTGTAAAATTAATAGTTTAAATAAAAATTGAGAGATAAACATGAATTTATTTAATGTCAATGACACTATGTAAACAGAGTCGCGTTTCCTTACACGACGTGTGGACAACACGAACGATAGCGCGGGACTGCGCCTTCTCCATGCGTGAACGTGATCCCTGCTCCCCCCACTACACAAAGTATCCCCGCCACCCTCACAAAAATGTCATGTTGAATAAAAGCTTTTTGTATGACGTCAGGCATTCCTCCTTAACTGCAACCCTCAAAAACAGTTTCTTCTTTTTTGCCTGATTATGACACGTGTACGATTATAAGTTCTCCGAGTAAAACTAAAAAATTTCTATTTCAATGTAATGAAATGAATTATTTACTTTAATTAAAACTTTATAATAATACGAAACAAAATAACATTGGAGTAGTTAGACCCCAAGCTATGCATAAACTTGTACAGTAAAAAAAAAAATTTTCAAAAATTTCAGGAGAGAGTAAAGTCGTTATTTTTTTATTATCAGTTACGATCGATTTTAGTTTGTTACACAGGAAACTAGGCAAATGAAAACAAAACTAAAATAGGCGAACTTTAAAATTAGCTTAAACAAAGTTCAATTCAGAAGAAAAAGTTGTAAACATTTTTTCCCCTTAGAATATTTATTTATAATTCTTCTGTAAAAATAAGCGATGCTATTGATTTAATAGTGTACTTTTCGCACAGCACCCACATAATACAAGTTTTCAGACATTTGTGGTCTTCTAAGTGAGTTTCACACAATATAAATTTTAACCTGGACCTTCCCATAATTTACCTACACCTAAAGTTACTTTGGAAACTCAAAGTAAAGCAGTACCACAATAAACGCAAAAGATACAACTTTTGGGGCATTAATATTTGTGTATGAAATCCTTATAATTAAAACTTGTCAATTAGCATTTTCTCAAATTTATTTACAATGGTAGCAATTTGACCCATTATTTACGAAAACAATAACAAATATTTATTGTTAAAATGAAAAAGAGTAAATGATAAGAATGAAGTGAGCGGTTGAGGAGTGCATTTGTTATACATATGGTATAGGTTTGAACTAAATCCCAGAACATTAATATTAATATCAACACAATACCAACTCACAACATCATAACTTTCAAAGTCTTAGGAGTTCTCTCCCAGGTGCTGCACAATGTCACATATAAAACAGCAATATTTTTCAACCAAACAGACGAAACGTCTAGAAACACGCATTACTTTGTTTCTGAGAGTGTAACATTTTTCTCCACTCTCTTTCTACCATTGTAGGTAAAATCCTTCTTTTTAATTTAATCATAATACATGATATAGTAAATTATTTTTCTAAATAGTATTTTCATTATTTCTAGAAACGGATATAGAGAAAAATTTTCTTCTTCCATCTGCATAACTGAATTTGAATAAAGCTTTTTCACTCATTTGAAAGTTGACACGAAATTTGTCACAATGCATGATAATAAACTGAACTTTCAGTGAAATTTGTGTTCGTTAAGCAAACTATACTGTACAGAAAACTACTCCACATGCACCGAGTGTGTAATTATGTTTGCAAGCATGTTTGAATTACAAGTATATCAGTATACCTACTTTAGTCAAGACTTTGTAACTTATATATATATTCCGTCCAATAAACTCGTTACTTACGCGATTCATTAGTCATTAATTTAGTATTACTTCTGTATAATAAAATGTTATTATTAAGCAAAAAAAAGTCTTAAGTATAAACTATCGGTTTTCCCCTGCTACACAAGATTCGACAAAAAGTATATAATTCTTGCTATTTACATAATATAGCCATTATAAATAAACAAATATTATTTTCACACAATCTTAAATAGTTTAAAATAATTTATTTCGGTTTTTTTATTTGAGTACCCGCAGACGATAAACTCACTTGATTCTAGATATTTATACGCGGAAATATATTTAAGTCCGTCACGCGATTTCTTCATTCATCAAAAGTGCTAATACATTATATATACAAAAACTTAAATTCTGAATATAAGTAAAAAATGCAACTGAGTTAAATATTTCCAATTATATTGTAAAAATAATCTGGGACAAAATATCTCGAAATAATGCAATACTTGTTTAGCGTCCCTCTAACAACTCATTTTCACGTTTTTCTCTATACAGTATAGTTTTGTCTTTCTCTATACCATTTTCTCATTTTAAATAAATAGCTATAAAAATCATTATTACATTTATCACAATTGAATAATTATAAATTGTTACTATAACTATAAAACACTCTCTAAATATATAAGAAAAGAATAAATGTAAGAATGTAAAAAAATAGTGAATATTCTTTCATGATGAAGTTACATACATATATTCTAAAAGAATTTTCAGAAAGTGTATTAAAATATGTACAATTATTTTGCCATGATTGTGCTGCATTTTGGTTGCGGCAGATAAGCCATAATTTTAAAAAGGAAACGGGTCACAGAGGAAACATTATTTTTTAAAAATCGATGAAAAATCAGTTTATCATGCAATGCATATGTGCACCATTTGAAAATGCGCTTTGGGCATGAAAAATTTACTATAAATACCTAGTATATTAGCATTCATAATTTCGAAAACATATTAGCAAAAAAATGTAGGTAAATTAAGAATTATTCTCAAATACGGAAAAATGACTATTAATAATAAGATGTAAACGCTCTTTTTAGCTTATTTTAATATTTTGGCTTACGCAGTTTACAAAAAAATTAATAAAGACAAGTTTAAAAATGACACCGTACTTAAAATGAAAGTCATAATAATTATAATATTATCCCCCTTAATATATAAGATTTTCATTTGATAATGAATATGCTCTAATAACCATATAAGTCAATGGTCAATGCTATTTTGATAAGATTAATTCCGTTTTCTATTTTTACCTTTTATTCTCATCCTGTGCTATTGCCCAAATGTCCTCTTCATTTTAATGCAAATTAGTCCATAACTCGCTTTCACGTGGGAAGCATTTAGATCGCTTAGTGGCTTCTTAACTTTTATTAATCGTTTAAGTTTTCTCGGTATTAGATACTGCAGATAATTTTTTGTTTCGCACACTAGATTTTTGCGTGCTTTGTTTCAGCAATTTTCTAATTTCCCTTATCTTGAAAATTGTTTTGAAACCAAAAATTTGTTTTCAAAAATTTAAAACCAAATATTCAAAATTATAATTATAATATTTTAATTATTGAGTTACAACTAGATCTATAGTTACAACTCAATAGGTGCATATGTTACATCTGTTATATGTACATTATATGTAACTTAAAAAATTTTATTATATAAAAAGTTTTTTTTTATAAAAGATTCTATTTCACGCAATTAATGTTGATTTTTGTCTTGGCGAACTGGTTAATCACCTTTTTCTTGAGACATTAACAAACGAGGATAATAATTTATTTCAAATGACTTCTCTGCACCTTCATTATTATTCTTTAGCACAAAACGCCTTGTGAATATACCAAGCAAAATTTCATTATAATTTTTTTTCATCGTTTTTTTCATTAGTGTACGTAATACAACCAGTATGGAAAAAACGTCATTATTTTACAAAAGCAAAAAGAAAACGAAAACAATTGACATTTAATGAGAATTTTTTTAGTTGTAAACAATTTTAATTTTTCAAATTTAGTCTACACCGTCTACACATTTAGTATTTTACTACATTTTTCAAGAATTATAAAATTATATATCATAATGATGTTAATGCTCTAAATTGAATGCAAATTAATTAGTAAATTTAAAAGCAAACCTATTAAAATGCAGAACGTTTAAAAATGCATATAATTATTTATAACGAGGAAGATAGTTATAGTTTTATAAATACTCTATAATAAAGAATACGACTTTAACGTATTATAAAAACGAACTGTACAATTATAAAGATCAGATTCGTAACAATTATGTAGAGCAGGTTAGGATGCACGCAAAAGTTAATTAACTGACTACATTGTGGTGGAAAAGTAGCGGAAGAGCCGCGCCCAATCTAGTAGCAGACGATGATAACGCGATAAATTTATTGGCCAACAACGATTCGATCTGGACGGACTTTCATCGTTGGCGTTGTGATAACTTCTGCTTTAATTAACGACCACCACTATGGCAGACATTTAGCTTTAGAAAAGAATTGTTAATCTATTTTCGAGAAATGACGGCAATATTTCTTCTAAATATTAAAAATAATACCTATTATATCTACGAAAGAAATTTCTGAGAATAATTAAGTTTTCCTCGCAGGCTTACGTGATACCTGACTTATTGTTTCTAAAGACATGTTCCCTCTACAAAAAATCAATTTTCCTTAATACCCGGAAAAATAGTTTCAAGAAAGAAGAATTATGTGTATTTAAATAATGTACTTTAATACAGTTTGCAAAAGTCACGTTACAATGCAATGAATGACGAAGGTTGAAGCTTGTAGTGGTATCACTTCAAGGGATTCAAAGCATATTATTAGCTGCGATATTGATTTTCAAATCCTTTCTCTAAATTGAATCAGAAATACTAAACGCGCAATATAACACCCTCTGATGACACTGTAATGAAATAATTGTAAAATCTATTTGGCAATTCAAAAAAGACCGTGTAAGCCTCTTGTATCCGATAAAATGAGACTAATATCCAAACAATACTCAAAAGACAAAATTTTTTCATATAAAAATATTAAACATTTACGTAAATACACGAATAGAAAAAATGTTTTACTTAAAGCAAATAAATATTTATGTGAGTTAAACAAAGGTATATTTTATTTCAAAACCTGCTATAACCTATTTATTTGGCGCAAATAAAAATTTCTTTTAGAAATAATATTTGTTGGGAACAAACAAAATTTATTTGAAACAAATTTGCATTCGCCTCTGAGACAAATATATATATATACATTTTTTCTCGATGTATAGAAAAAAATGAATAACTACAACTGTTAAAATAAATCATTTTTCTATTTTTATTTTTAACTTTTATATAGTGCGTATAAGAGTCTTTTCTTTTTTTAATTCCTCTATTTATTTCTCTAACTCTTTATTTGTGGGTGAAAGTTCAAGTGAAAAATATGCACATTTGACCAGAAAAACTTTAAAACAAGATGTCTTTTTAAGTATGAATGTAAATTCCTGCAGATGTTAAATATTTTTTCATATTCTTATTTTTTTTTTAATAAAAAAAAAATATTTTTTATCATTCTTTCTTTTTTAATTTTTTTATTTAAATTATTTAATTTACCCTCAAATGCAACGATTCCTAGAGAGAAAATCTTTATTTTCGATAAAGTTCAATAATGTAAAACCAATCTGTTTTGCACGAGAATTCCTTTAAGAAATTTTAATATAGCATTACTCACGCAGTAGTAAAACTCAAGATTGCGTCAGACTTGAGGCAGAAACAACTTTAATTATATTTATCTTATATTCCAGTAAATCAGAAATTGTAGAAAAGTAAATTGAATTAGTGAAAATTTAAGAGAGTTATAAACAAATAATTACAATTAGTAAATCGATACCTACTCAAAATTATAGTTTTTCTCAAATATCGATGGAATTTTTTAAAAATAGCATTAAGGCCGTTCAAGTATATGCGCAACATTTAACTTTTAAACAAAAAATTTTTTTTATCTCTACAAATATGACGAATTTAAGTTGACCTTGAAAATGTTTTTTCACAAAAAACATTTTTGTGAAAAATGTCTCGCAATTGAATTTATTATATAGTTTTATGAAACAGTTCAATTTATTTTAAAATACTTATTTATTTTAAAAAATTATAAAGAAATGAAATTATTCTTTTATTAATCATTATTATCATTATTATTTATTAATGTTTATTCAAACATTAATAAATAATAATTTAATTTCTTTATAATTTTTTAAAATATAAAGAGAATGATATTTTTCATTTCTGAAGATGTCTTTGTCCTCGTGAAAAATAGAAAACCAACAATTTAAAGGTATAAAAATAATTTTATCATTCAAGTGTTACATTTCAGTATTGTGAAAAAGGAAACCTGCAGCAGTTTTGCGCGCACTTTTACACAAATACATTTTAATTTTATAATTTTTCCTTGAACACAAATGCACAACGTTTCACGCAGTTTCACGTTGACATGTGCATATACATATAGGTGCGCCTTTTCACTTTTCAAAGAAAGGAAAAACAGAAGCGGAAATGGATTGTCTGAATCCGTGCACTGACTTTTATTTGCGAGTTTTGTGCAGCGAACTGTCATTTCATATAGAATTTCAGTTTTTCAAGAACATTAAAGATGCCAAGTAAAGTGGAAAACGCAACGCTCGAATGTTGCGTTGTGTTTAAAAGCCGGGGTTCTCTTTCACAAGCCATTCTACTAAATAATTCAGAGGCAACTCTTACCACGATAAAATCTTCAACCCTCCAGCTTCAAGTAGTTTTTTTAGCGATATAAAATATAAAAACCACCTTTCACCTCCTTCAGAAAAGGAAGTGAAGTTGAATGACCAATTTCTTTATGAATCGTAAAAAGTACCCTATAGTAAATTTTATTAAACTTTAAAGGAATAAGTAAAAGATTTTTTTAAAAATTAACAACTTGCGAGTGTAACTTATTTTTCCAAGAAATTATTCTTGATTATTGCTAAAGTTTTTTGTCTGCGCATTGATGAAAATATTTTATTTTTTTAATTTCTTTTGACAGAAGAAAAGACGCAGGAAAGATGTTAATGTGATTACCCATCATCCCTTCGCTTTCACGTAAACCACGTTCTCGACAGATGCATATAATCCGGTTCAGAAAGTTGTCCTAATTATAAGTTACATAATTGACAAATCCCATGAGTGAAATAGCGATAATTGATTTACTTGCTGACATTTGTCGACTTTACATCCTGTGTACATATTGAAACAGGGAGATTTAAATGAGAAAAATATAAATCTTTTTTTTTCAATGCTTCACAATTTTCAACTTTTTTCTTTAAATACTTTTATTTTGCAGACAAACTGTGCTATTTTTCTACACTGCAATAAAAAAAGGAAAAAAAATCGCCTGACATAACCTTGACATTGACACTATACGTAAACAATTTTTCAATTGTCAGGTAAAATATTTACGTCAATTTCAATATTTCTCAAATTCTATTTAATTCAGCTACACAGTTTTGTAAATTTAGGATGAATAAAAATTTTGTCAATCAAAATTTGGTAAGAGGATAATGAGAAACTTTAGATCCTTTAGATCAGATAAATGTATGTGACTGCGAAAAAGTACAAAAAATTTTAGGTTATGTTTGTAATTTTTGGAATAAAAATACACAAAATTCACTGTCAATATAAACTACTGGTGTTTAAAGTCGTCATTACATAAATAATTAGTAAAAACTGATTTTTTATATTACATACCTAATTAAATACTATAAAAACTTTTAATTTAGGTAAAAATAACACAAAAATAACCTTAAAATAATTTGCCTCTATTTTCGCAGCGCGTCACAAAAAGTGAAATTAAAAAAATTTTCTAACCTTACAATAATTGTCCAGTCCATCCGATTACCATCAATGCCATCAATTACCATCCTGAAGCTGCATTCTCGTCAATTTTGGGAAATAAAAAACACTCACTCGCGCGGTTTTAAAAAATCCGAATACACTTCCGAACCACGTGTTAATTGGTGATCACAAATTCACAACTATACATATTTACAAACGATCGCGGTTTTAAGCATTACGAACACTCGATTTTAACAAAAAATATTATTTAAATTGACAATCTGAGATAAGAATGTCCTTCGATCGCGATTTAAAGAGATTCGAACACTCCCGAAGCTAACACTCACTTTTGTGAATGAATGAATGAAAAATGATTTCAGAATTAAAAGGATTACAAGTGATTAGAACACGTGGTTGAACTGTTGCGACGATAATTTATACAAATTTTTCACCGACCCTCCTGAGCCACACTGGTAGTTTCGAAAGTAATGCCACCCATTGACTGACGTCATGACAGGGAGACGATACGACATTGAAAAACAAGGGGGTCGTACGAATTTTAATTAAAAACAGTGAGTCAGTGACGGATGCAGACGAGGCTTTTTGGGAGTCATCCATTCACGAAAATTGAACATATTTACTGTTATCTCTTTCTATCTCATAGATAAGTAATAATAAGATTCTTGAGGGGTGGCAGCACCTGTGCCTCCCCCCTTGATCTGCCACTGATTAGAAATTAGAATACTAACATTCATAAATATACATAAATAACAAATTATGTAAAATATTTTACGATTTTAATTACAATATAACAAAAATAAGAAAATTTATGTATTTTATGCATATTGCATTAATTTCCCAGATTGAATATAAAAGTATATAATAACATCCCCACTTTTTTCGACGTATATCTACAGGGTTGAGATAAATAATCGAAAAGAGTTGACTATCTATATAATAATAGATCAAAGACTAATATAATTTGTGTTTTACCTGCGTGTTTACCTGCTTTCAGTTATTCATGTACAAATTTAATAATCGGAATATAATTCTTTTCTCTGGTAAAAGTAATATTTTTTTCCTGCGTATACTTTGTGCAATAAAAAGCTTTTGGAAGTTATAAAATCGAGACAGCACTTTTGAAACGAAAAGTGAGTCGAATGACTACAGAGAGAGAGAGAGAGAGAGAGATAGAGCACGTTTTGTGATGAATCAAGGTATCGCCGTGTTGATGCGAATAACGTGCAAAGTTATTTCTAGTGTCAATCTTGATTGAAATCTTTACTGATGTATACGCAAGCAAATATCAAAACTTGTTTTATGATGCGTTCTAAAGTGAAAGCCCTGCAGGAATCTATCGATTTTACCGTTAATGTACATCGTAAATACACTGCATACCTATTCAGATTAACATTTAATACAATCATAAATATTTTACACAATTTCTGTGTATCAATGAAATAAAAATAAATTTAAGGTGAGTTATTTAGTATTTAGCAGAAATTAAATGGGGACAGAAATTTTTATTCCGAAATGACAATTTAAATAATTGAATTTATTTTTTTTATGTGAACTCGTAATTGATTATTGAGAATTTGTATAACAAATGTATCTTTTTCAGTAGGCATTTAGATAAAACTTGATTAAATTCAATATTTTCAATTGATATGTTAATTCACATTGACAGGGATCAAGTTGGACCAGCTAAGACCCAATAAATCCAAGATTCGATTATCAATTTGCATGCAATAACAAGCGACCTGATCGTTAAGGCGAATTTCGAGGATTTGGACCGTAAATCGAAGTTTTGTTGGCTTGGAGAATGCTGAACCTGAATTGAGTTCGTCAACGTTCGGATTATTCGTAAGAACAATACATTTTTCATTTAATCACACCGGATTAAATTTATTATCAACTATAATAATAATATTTGCTTATTTTTTTCAATCAAATAATCGATTTCACTTGAGCTTGAATATTTTCAAATAAAAATATTTTCTTGAAACAAATAAATTCTTTCCGAAAGAAGAATTTATGAATTTAAAACAAATACTATTTAATCAACAGAACTTAAAAAAAATAAATCAGACGATCCGAAGAAATATTCATTTGATAAATAATGAGGTAAAATAGTTGAAAAAAACAAATTTTCTTCGGTAAGCAATTTATATTCATAGAATAGTTAATCGGAATTGAGTCTTATTTGAAAATTAAAAAAATAAATATTGAATTTATAATTTTACACTGAAAAAAATAGGAGTCAGAATCCAAGAATTAAAATAATGAGAGAAAGGAATTTTTAATAAAATATAAAAGACATTTATGAATTTTGAAAATTTATTGAAATCTCGTGTTACAAGATAAGCTAGCAGTAAGGCTTTGATCGTGTGCGTGCATTTGTGTTTTATGAATTAATGAAAATATAATGATGTGAGCATAACACCGATTGCAATACTATAACATACTATACTTTTTTCCCTTTTTTCATCTTCCAATGTCACTCCACTAACGGAGAAGACGGTGTGAAATAAACGACTGCAGTTATATGCTTTTATTTTAAAAACATCTATAATGAATTGTTTACTGTGACAAGTGTTTTTTCTTCTTATATATTATTCTACTTCATAACTTGCAGTTCCATTACAATTGTTTTTTTTCATTTACTCTCTTGTGTTCAACCTTATACATATATTAAACTAATATGTGCTCTATGATAATTGAAACGACCGATCGTTAAGACAATATGTACAAATTGTAAACTAACCAATAATAATAAGAATAATAGTAATAATAATTAATCGCTTATATTAGTGCGTAAATAGTTCAATTTCCGGTCAAGTGAACAAAGCACTGTGAAAATTGATAATAAATTGCCAAACAAATTTTCAATTTCAGATTTAAAAAATCAGTATTTTACTATATAAATGAAAAAAGTAAAATAATTATTTAAGCAGATTAAAGAAATTTTAAATATCATAATCAATAGTCGAAACTCGATTCACTTAACCAGTAAGCAATTTTAATAAGAGTCTGCAATATATTAATTATATAATAATAATAATAATAATTAACATTCATGTATCTTCGATTCAGATTTCTTACATCACGATAAAACTATTCTAAAATATTGCGCTTTTGGCAGGAATAAGAGTTAGCGAAGGACATTCACGTTCAGTTTCCTAAATGTAATATATATTTTTTTTTATTAATTACAAAGTTAAACTTTATCCACGAAATCTCTTCACTGTCAGAAAGACTTAATCCCTCGACAGTGACGAGATTGGTCGGCGATAAAGGAATATAACTTAAAAAAAAAATTACAGCTTTACAATAAAGTAAAAAGTGAGAGAAGAAAGTGTCAGTATTTTCACTTTACTAGCGTAATTTTTTTCTAGCTAGACTAAAATGTCATAAAAAGAAGAACTTAATTTTCATGATTTCATTGACGTGTACAATTAAAAAAAGATCACGACCAAAATGTCGATCATCGCTTTTCATAAAAAAGAGGAGGATTAAAAAGACTATGACGGTGAGAATACGGAAAAACAATGCAGCAGAAGAAGAAGAAGAAGAAGAAGAAGAAGTAGTTTCGGAATAAAAATAATGTACAATTTCGAGAGGTTTTTCTTTTTCAGGAGATTCAACGAGAAAGTCCTGGGTGAAGGAGAGAGACGAGAAGAAGCGCACACTGCATTATCAACAGAATACCGGAAGTGGTCTCTCGTACCAGGTAGAATGGGTTTCGCGGTTATCCTGCTGGAAAACGACACTTCTGGTACCCATGAATCCGTGGCCAGGCAACCGGAAGTTCCCCAGAACGGCTGCGAGTATTATACAGCAATAGGCAGATTTACATATTTCATTCTTCGTTTAGCGGTTATCATTATTTATTGATCTCGTTTCGAAATACGATTTCAGAATAAGCTAAACGGACTTTAATATTTTATTAAAAAAATACTTTGCGCAATATAACTGAAGATGAGAACTGATTTTGTCGGTAAAAACTTGAAAATTCTTCTCACAAAGGAATCTAGAAACAGTTTTCTCGGTAGTTTATAGTGTAAAATATTCCTCTTTCGGATATTCAATAACCGTTCCCGCCACGAGATTCTGTATATAACAGGAAGTTTCTGTTGGTAGCATGTCGTCGTCGTCTCTCTCGTCTCTCATCTTTTTTCCTCTGCCGTCAATTTGCGCGTTGTTGCAAAAAAAAAAAAAAAAAAATACTTTAAAACTTCGAAATTCTTTTCGAATTAAAATCATTCTTGTTTGATTGAAAATTTTTTAAAGCCTTGATTATAATTTATCAGAGTTTTTTCATTTGCGACATATATTTCTTATTCAAATTTTACTATTTTCTACCTTAATTTCATGAGGCCTCAAAGAAATTTTCTATCAACAGAATTCTCAGATTTTCTACAACACAAACTTTTCTTAAATATTATGATTCAGTTTTACTTTAGAGTTTAAAATTCTTCACTTTTTTTAAACGTAATAACTCGAAGCTCATTAGGCCTATTTATTTTACCCCATTTTCGATGATCTCCTAAAAGGTAAATTCTCGGAACATGATTATAGAAAAGGGCGAGTTGCATTCGTGCTGCATGTTTACTTATCAAGCGATGTCAAATATTAATGAAAATGAGTTTGATCGACACGATCAAAATCCCCGTTGAAGACTGTCTTCTAAAGATTATTGAGTGACCCAGCCAATGGTGTTGTTACGAGATAGCCTTCCCATGCGACGCTCCCGGTCTGCATAACAAATGAAAAATAATATTAAACATTTTAATTAAAAAATTCGATGAAAATTTTATTAATTACTGAATGAATGTGAATTATAAACATTTATTGATGTACAAAATTTTATTAAAGAACCTAATCTTAACTAATTCAAAGTTGCCAAAAAAAAATTAATTTTGTTTTTCTCTGATTTCCAGACAAAATTTCGATTTTTTCTCTGACTCAAAGAAATATTCTGATTCACTCTAAAAAATTATTTTTAGACAGGAATTAAGATTTTAAAAAATTGCAAATTCAATAACTTTTAAGAATGTTATTATAAAACATGAAGAAATCGATCACTCCGAGTCTTCGACTCGGAGCAATCGATTTCTTCATGTTTTATAATAATTATTAAAGATGACCGTGTGATAAAATCATTTTTTTATATTATAAGAATATTATAACTGTAAGTTCTTCGAAATTATTTTCATGATTTTAATTCAATTGTTATTTTCTAGAAGTTTTAACTAAAATTCCTCTTTAAATCAATTATTTTTAATAATTGACAAAGTTTTTTGAGAAGTTTCAAATACAAGTTTACAATTAAATTTTCCGAAATTTCATCGATTATTCCGAAATTCGTCAATGTAATATATTAGAAAATAAAAACTTGACATAATTTCAAAAAAAATTTAATTAAACTTTTTCGAAAAAAATTCTACAGAATTGTCTGTTAAAATAGTGAAAAATTCAAATTTTCAAAGATTTTCTTTTGAAACCTTTTCAAAATTTAAATATTTCTAAAAATTCACTCTATAATGCTTTTTATATTCAATTATCGAAAATTTTAACTGAAATTCATTTTTAAATCAATTTTTATTAAAAAATTCTAAGAGAATTCAATTATTAAAATGCAAAAATAAATAATTTATTAAATAATTCAATATTTCTTAAAACTAAATTCACATAAAGAATTTTATTCACTAAATATTAAATAATTAAATTCTTTTGATGAATTTTAATAAACTTTTTAAGAATAATAACGTTTTTCGAAAAATTCGATTAAAAATTATTTTAAAGATAATTGAAATTTTGCTATGATTTTTATTATTTATGAAAATAATTGAATCCTTGCAAAAAATTGTATTATTTACGAAAATAATTGAATTATTGCGAAGAAATTTTTAAAATTTTGTAAACAATAGAATTTCTGTTGAAATTTTTGTTACTAAAATAATTAAATGTTTGCGTGGAATTTGATTAAAATTTTTGTTCAATATTGAGGAAATGTTTTGAAAATAATTGAAATTTTCCAAGAATTTTAATGAAATTTTTGAAAATAATTGAATTTCAGAGAAGAATTTGATAATTTTTAAAGATAATTGAAATTTTGACGAGAATTTTTAAAAACTTTGGAATTTCTGGGAAAAATTTTATTACTTTTGAAAATAATTGAATTTTTGCAATAATTTGTAACTTTTTCAAAATTCAATTTTTTTTACTGCGTTTTTAACTAAAATTCTTCTCTACTAAATAAATTGCTTTTAATAATTTTTGTAATTTAAACTAATTCTTTTTTAAATAATTGAATTGCTGTAAAATTTTTATTATTTATGAAAATTCGAACGTTTGCATAGAATTTTGTCAAAAATTTTTTTAAATATTTGAATTTTTTGGGAAATTTTATTCAAAATAGTAGATATTAAAAAAAAACGTTGAATTGAAAATTTTTTTGCCTAAAATCTTATTAAAATTTTTAAAAATATTAAATTTTTGAAAATAATTTGAATTTCTGCGAAGAATTTTATTACTTTTGAAAATAATTGAATTCTTATCATAAAGTTTGTTATTTATGAAAAGGAATAAATTTTGCAAAAAATTTGATCAAAATTCCTGAAAATAATTGAATTTTTGGGAAGAACTTTGACATTTATCAAGAGAATTGAATTCTTTCGAAAAATTGCGTTAAAATTTTTGAATAAATAAACGTATATATTAAAAAATTCAACTATATAATTTCAACAGAATTGAAATTAAACTTTTCAAGACAAAAATGACATTAAAATTGAGAATTTTCTTATGTAACACTTTAATTTCTTTTCCAGTACTTTTAATAAAATTACCCCGTAATTATTCATTAAATAATTGATTAAAGTATTCAGTAAGTTTTTCCAAGTAAATTAATAGGCAGCATATTTTGCTGCTATCTATTTAATAGTTAATAATTCAAAAACAGCAGTTGTGGGGCAAAAATTAAAGTTAATCAGAAAGTTCATTAAGCGATGCGACACTCGAATAAATGAAACCAGTCGCGACTCTTCATTCCACTGGCTATTAACTTAACTATTAACTTGATATCACAAGTTATATTGTCTGGACAATGCATTTGAAATTCATGCATTTGAAATTTACTTGGAATCCATGAACTCCAGTAAGTTTGGAGAATATTGAAAGTTTCGACCACAAAGCTTAGGCATTGTTTTAATTTTAACACACAAGAAAATTAAGACTTCTTATTTGAAAAAGAAGAATTATGAAATTTTTATTTATATGGTAAAAAAAACTATTTGGAAATTAAAGTCCAACATTTTTATCATATGAATAATGTGTTGAAAAGAATTTTTCGAGCTTGTAAATCAAAGCTATCACAGTCAGGCTGAAAGCTTTGAACTCGGAAAAATTATGAATTGGAATAATGTCATCAATCAGAGAACTTGACAATATTAACCGAGCGTGAAACTTGTTTAAATGTTTGATTTTTAAAAATAATCAACAAAGCAAATAATCTTCCCTTTACACTATATTCAAAAGTGTACAAACTTTCGGAATTTTTACTTAGAAAAGAAAAGCACTTAAAAAGTTTCAAAACGAATAGTTTTTAAAGAGAAACAGTATAACGAAAACAAAGAATGAAATAATTATTATTCAAAAATTGAAGAAAATTAAATTAAATATTTTGAATATTTCTGTACAAAATATCTATCAATAAATATATTGAACTTGATCTATTAAATTATGATTTAAGCATCAATATTACGACATATTCCTAAACGTGATTTGAAATGACAAGTTTGATGGTTTATATTATAGCACGCATTATAGTTTCAACTCAGTAGTCCTATCAGTAATCAAGTTTCAACATTTAACGATATACGATACATCAACTGTTAAACTGGACATTGTAAATAATTCCATTGTTCGTTAATAAATGATTGTCAATTATTTACACAATTTCGGCATCAAATTTTCTTCATTCAATATAAATAAGCAATTATTTTTCTACTTTGAAAATTTACACATATTTCATGATCGAGAAAAAAAATGGTTTTCAAAAATGTAAAGACTTCTTTTTACGTGTTAAATTATCTTTCAGCTGTTGGAAAATACACAGCATGATAGTCAGTAGTGAGAGGGTGAAAAATTCATTTGACTGAAGGGAGAGAAAAAAAGGGAAATCAGATAACTTTCGTGCTTATCTCATCATTGAGATCTAAAAAGAATATTGGATAGTAGGAAAAAATTTTAAAATAACAGTTTCGCTTCGTACCTACAAGGAGAAAATTCAAAGTATTTTTATTTTATTTTATAATAGTTTTGATCGCTGAAAAACGCTATTGTATTAAATAAATATTAATTTTGTAAATTTAGACTCAAAATAATAACTTGTTCGAAATTTATTGAGTATTGTTTTCTATGAAAATTTCGCGCTTTCATATTTTTCTCATAAAACCATAAAACCAAGTAGTAAAATTTGTTAATCAATTTTTCTCAATCCAATATTTAAAGTGTTTTTATAGCAATAGGTGAACATTAATTTTTTATCATCATGTACTACAGACTCTCTTTTTCATTTGACTTTTTTATTGAATTCATAGCTCGAACTCTGAATATAACATTTCGATTCAATACAACCTTGGGATTTAAAATTCTTGCAAAAATAAACAAACACTTTTTACAGGGGTTTTTTCATTTTCGGAAAAGATGGAATAAATCTTGTGCACAGGCAAATGTGAAACCAAAATAATAAAAAAAAAATTATATAGTTTCTCTTAAAAACTGATCGTCACACGCTCTTTTACGAAGACGTCAAATATCGCCCCTCTGCCTATCAGATTTATGGCATTTGCCAAATACCTTCGTTCAAAAAAAGTTTTCCTTCATTTTTCAACTGTGCAGGAAAAAAGTTATCTGAATGAGTCTTATAAAAGGCACACTATATGCACATTGGAGTGTATATCCCAACAGTTAACTCGATATGGAATGAAATAGAAAAGAGAAATGGAAACAGGAAAGAGGGCAGTTGGCCCGGAAAAATAATTGAGGCTTCAATTACTGAATAAATTGCCTTCAATTTCTATTTCAGCCAGGGACTAACTTTCTTTTATTCCTCTTTTTCCTCTATTACTTTTTATGAATGCCAAAACCTATCTATCTTTCCATCAATTTCGTGGAAAATAATTTTTCAAACATTATAATAAAGAAAGAAAAAAAAGTAAAGACTTAAATAAAATCAGGGCTCGAACTAGGTCCGTAAAAGTCAGTTTTTTTTAAAAAAAGGTCTGTAAAATCCGTAATTTGATTAAAAAGCAAGAAAATTTCGTAAATTCAACGATATAAATTGGAGAATTTTTGAGAAGTTATAAATAATTGCAAAAATTCAATTATTTTCAAAAGTAATAAAATTCTTTGCGGAAATTCAATTATGTTCAAAATTTTTTAAAAATTTTCATCAAAATATTCAATTATCTTTATAAATAATAAAATTTTTCTCCAAAATTCAATTACTTTCAAAAATTTTAATAAAATTCTTGAAAAATTCAATTATTTAAAGAGATAGCAAAATTATTCAAAGGTATTCAATTACTTTTATAAACAGTAAAATTCTTTGCAAAAATTCAAATATTTTTAATAGGTACAATTTTAATAACATTTTTCGAAAGAATCGAATTATTTTTTTAAAATTTTAATAAATCCTTCGAAACAATTTAATTATTTTTATACGTAGTAAAATTCATCGTAAGAATTAAATTGTTTTCCGATAAATAATAAAATTCTTCTCATGAATTCAATTATTTTCAATAAATTTATTAACAAATTCGATTGTATTTAATAAATTAAAGAAACTTTTCGAAAGAATTAAATTATTTTCTAAAAAATTTAATAAAATTCAAGAATTAAATGGTTAATTTCAATTATTAAGAAGGAGGATTATTGTAAAAACTTGAAAGTAATTATTCATATAAAATTCAATAACTTTGAAAATTTTCAATTAAAATTATTAAAGAAACTCCATTATTTTAAAGAAACTTAAAGAAATTCTTTAAAAGAATTTAATTAAGATTATGAAAAATTTTAATAAAATTCTTCCCAAAAATTCAATTATTATTACCATAAACAATAAAATTTAATTATTATAAAACATGAAGAAAGCGAAAAATTGAATTTATAATTTTAAGTAAAATGTTCTCTTATTTAATTCGGACTGGTTATATTTTTGTCAGTAATAATTGGTCCGTAAAGTTCCTTATTTTTAAATACTTTCACTGGTTCGAGCCTTGTAAAATACATTTTGTAAAAATTGTAAAAATTGTACCGATTTAGAGAAAATTTTTGATGCTCTATAATAATTTATGATAACAAGTGAAAAAAGTAGTGAATTAGTGAATGTTTTTTGAGTATGTAATAATGAATGTATGAATAAATGCTGTAAAATATATACCTAGGCAAACGCCTTATTGCACTAAGATGTCGCCACCTCGAGCCGGGACTGCCGTACTGTAACAATTAAATTTAAAAAATAGCAAACCGACTTATACTCATGCCGGCGAAAGAAAGATTAGTCAAAAATAAACACTGTTCTCTCAATTCGTCATTTTATTTATTTATACCCATTATTAGAAAATCAAACATTCAAAAGAATGCTTTTAACGATATACTCTATAGTTGCAAATTTTTTATCAACGACAATTATTTATTGCTCAGCAAAAACATATGGTTTTTAATTTTTAATTCTCTTAAAAACTATATATTATTCTTCTCATTTCGTTTGCAATTTTTGTAATTCTAGTGCGAAACAAGGTGCACGCAATTTTTCACTCTTCTCTCATCCCAAAAAAAAGAAGTAACAGAAACGAATAGAAATCATGTCACGCAATTTAAAAAGTGGAACTCGCGAAAGGCGCAACATTTATTTTGAATTTAATCCACCTCGTAAATTTGCAATTCTGCACTCGATATCAAATGATTATTCGACTGTCATAAATGATCAATGTCGATGATTTTTTTTTTTTTTTTTTTTTTTTTTTTTTGAAAAACAGCTTATTTCTTCACTTGACATTAATTTCAATACACAACAATATCAATAATAATATGCATAAAATCACAAGCATCACAAGTGATTTTTAAATTAGAAAAATATGAATAAAATCACAAATGAGATTTTTCAATAAAATGAATTGAGAGAACGTGTAGTTTTTGAATAAAACATGCCTGTATAGGTAGAAATAAAAATTTCTTTTTCAAAACAATCCTTGCTGTTAGTATTATAAAAAAACATCACAATGTTAATAAAATCCTTTTTAATTGCCCACAACTGGAAAAGTTGTGTTTTATTTCTGAAAGATAATTCTTATTCTTCAATACTGATTAAAAAATGAACTGAAAATTAAATTCAATGTCCTCTTTTTTATATAAAAGCTTAGAAAGATAGAGAATCTTTTGTGGTACTTTAATAAAATTCTTAATAAAAAGCATCGTTGAGGCAAGATCAAAAGCTTTAGACATTTACCAGTTCAGAAAGTTTATGACTTGAATTTTATCGCTAGTGGCACAAAATTGCTTTCTGCGCTGAGAACAGCAAAATGTTTCCTCTAACAAACACTGCTAATCTTAACGTTACATTTTATTTTAATATTATCACAACTATAATGACAAATTCTTGCGAGAATATCAGAAAATGCCGTTAAATGCTGTTATGTATTAATAAGTTTTTAATATAAAAAATCAGACATTAGTTGAAGTTTGTCGGCACAATTTTTCTGCAGATATCAAATTGAGACAAAAAAATGAATCGCAAAAATGTTGCGAAGCAACTTTTTGATTCATTTTTAGATATCAACTATGTCAACTTTGACTGTAATTACTTTGTTCTTTGAATTTTTTGCACGTTTTTCATGTCCCAAAAGTATTTTTCAATTTCTTAAAGAGAGTTTATATTCCTTCGTCGGATCGATGAAAATTATCCAAAAAAAGTATTTTCTCAAGCAGCTGAAATACTTTTTTGAAAAAAATGGTAGATTCAAGTGGGAAAAAAATAAAAATTTTTTCTTTCCTTCATTTACAGGATCAAGTTATTAAGATGCAAGGTTGGAACAATGAGAAAGCATTAAGCTGTTTGCTATTAAACGTGCTCACGTCAGAACGACGTCACGTAAGGCAAACGCCCATCGAAATTAACGCCTCACAACTTCATCAGAGTGAAGATAATAGTTTGTAACCTCAACATCTTGGCATTTCACAGAATATCTAATCAAAATAGTTTCAAGGCTTATCGTTATATTATTTGCATGTAAGTTGCAAATTTACATTTGACAAGATAATTTTAAAAGAGATCAAAAATACTCAAACTTTTGAAAATTGTTTTTAAAATTCAAGTCTGATTATCTAAAATCAGACATGAAGTAAACAATTTCAAAGACTAAATTTTTATCACAATTCAGAAATGAATGAAATTTTTTGTTGTTGAGGTTCCTTTTTGAAAAGCGTTTTCTTTAGAATTGTAAAAATATTTACAAATTGTTGTAAATTGAAAACAAATAAGGGCTGCCATAAAAATTTTATTTTGTTTTTCCCCGATTTCCAGAGAGAATTTTGACTTTTTCCCTAACTCTAAAAAATATTCTGTTCCACTCTAAAAATTATTAAATACTACAAAAAAAAATTTTCCTACTTTTATTTGCGAATTTCTTTAATTGAAAAATTATTCAAAAAAAGTAAATACTTTTCTTTTAAATAAATTTTTATTTATTATTATATTTCCATATCAAGTTTTCTCTATTATTTTTCGAATAAGATTTTCAAAAATTTTTAATTTCAAATCTTTCGAAATTTGATAATTTATAAAAATTGCTACTGTAAGTACTTTAAAATTATTTTTATGATTTCAATTCAATTTTCTGGAATTTTTAACTAAAATTCTCTAAAATTTTTAATAATTTTTTACAAAGTTCTTTGAGAATCCAGTTTGTGAAACAATAAAGAAAGTTCACCGAAACTAATTTGGAAATACACTCGTTTACAATTCAATTTGACCAATCTTAGATTAATCTGAAATTTTTGAATTAAATATATTAAAAAATACAAGAGCCAAATAATTTAAAACAATTTGAATTTAAATTTTTCAAAACATTTGAAACTCTTTCAAAATTTAGTTATTTTAAAAAATTGCTATTATTTCTATAACTTTTTCAAAATTCAATTATTTTTCAGAGTTTTAACTAAAATTCTTCTTTAAATCAATTTTTTTTAATAATTTCCAGGAAATTCTTCTCTAAATCAATTATTTTTAATAAGATTCAGAAAACTTTTTTCTAAATCAATTATTTTTAAGAAGATTCAGAGAATTTTTTTCTAAATCAATTATTTTTAATAATTAAATATATATCTATTAAAAAATTGAAATAATGTCAAAAGAATTTGAATTAAAATTTTCAAAAAACTAAGTTCATCAAAATTTCTAATTGAATTCATTAAAAATTCAAATTGATATCTTTTGAAGTTTTAATTATTTATGAAAATTGTAAATGTAACTCTTATAAGTTTTAATTATTTTAGATATTTTCATGTAGAATTAATAATTAGGGAATTTATAAACAATAATTTTACAATTGTTATTCGAAAATTAAATGGTTTTAAATAAACTCAATTTCATATTCTGTAAAGTTCAAATATTGTCAAAAATAAAAGAATTTAAGTTTTTTTGGGATTTCGAAGTTTACAAGGCAAAAAGAAATTTAAGAAGAATTAATTTTTTAAAAATATTTTCAAAGCTTTCTAGTCAGCGAAATCCAAAATTTTCTTATGAATTCTAAAAATTTAATTTTTTTCCGGTACTATTAATAAAATTCCCTGATTTTTTCCTGAATTTCCTGACCTGTGGCAACCCTGCAAATTCTAAAGTTAAGTAAGCTGATTAATGAAAGCGAATTTTAAGAAATATTTAAAGAAAAATGCATTTGGCACACTGGTAACCGATTGGTAAGCTTCTCAGGTACCTTCACTGAATTAAAGCAGGTTTCCTGTGATTCATGTTAAAGAATCGGAATTGCAGTCGCAACGTTAGATCTTTCCGTACTGTTGAAATGAAAATAACAACTTTTCATTAAATCTTCTTCACGATTATCTTTAATTAAGTAAAAAATATTCTTCACTTTTTAACAATTATTCTTTTACTGTGTCGGTGTAAAATATTTTCTTGTCTCTGTATGGTTTTAATATGTGATCCTTGTATAAGTATTTAATGAGCATCATAATAACACAACATAATCTTTACCGACGAAGGGGTGTTTTCTTAAAGCTATAAGTCTGTCTAACAATGTCTCTGGTGATACTGTCCAAAGCAACAAAAACAAAATGATGAACGTTTTTTTTAGCATCACGAGGAAAAGAAATTCTCGATTTTCAATTTGAAGAATAAAAAAGTAATTTTTCTCTTTTTTGAAAAAAAAATCAAAAGCAGTTACTGAGCAGGCAATGGTGTGATTGAGTTGCCGGAAAATCAAGCCGCGAATTAGAAACTTTTCGTTTCTCTCTTTTTGCTAATATATATTTTTTTCAATATTTAAATTTGCAGGTTAATAAACATGCGATTAGAAAAGAAATTTCATTGAATCAAAATTAAAAAAAAATTTGAGAACATTTGTAACATACACATACAAATATCAGACTACTTTTTTCTTTTCTTGAAAAAAAGAAACATTTTCGAACAATTGTTGACTGAATGTTAAAATTTCATACAAAAGTTAAAAATTTTTTTCCTTCCTGTATCTTGAAGAATGGAAAATTTGAATTTTTTTTTATATTAAATCTTGTACTTCTCTAAAATTAACTACAAAGACTTTTTTTGTTAAGTGAAAAAAATTATTATGGAAAAAGGGAATGATTTTCATTTCATTTACTCACTGCGCCAAATCAGCGCTACGTTCGGTTTTTTAGAGCATCTTCGGGAAGAATGGAGAAGGTGCCAGGGCCTGCACCATTTGCTACAGATTTTGCACGTGCCAAAGCTTCCACACGACAGACTGCCCAGACAAATATTTAATTACTTAAATTTAATATTGAAATTTAAATCACGATCATCTTTTTGCAGATGAACATAAACATGGAATTACTTAAAAATAAAAACTTTCAAAAGTAAATAAATAAACTTTTAAAGGTTTTTTTTCCAAAAAGGTGTAAGAATGGATAAATGTATTAATTGATAATGCACTGCATGTTAGAAGCATACATTTTATGGATGTTAAAAAGAAAGTTATAAATTTGTTGACAGGAAGTAAAAATGATGGTAAAAATGAAGGATGTGAATCCAGGAGACCAAATGATTTCTCTCAAGGGTCCATTCAATAATTACCTCAAATGTCGCTAGCTAGAGTAAAAAAAGTGAATATAAGCAGGATGATTGGATAGATTGTGATTGACTAGAAAAGCGCTAGGTGAAACTACGAAGCAATTTTATGATGATTTAGAAGCATTTCGTCATATAGTCTTCAAAGTCTCCCATACACTGGCTTCCATCTAAGAGAAAAATTTCTATATAGACTTTCAGGTGAAATTTTCAATAAAAAAGGAGACATTTGAAACTTGAAAAGTCATAAAGTCGAGTCTTGTAATGTACGAATAAAAATCTCGTGTGCCGTAAATTAAGTAGCAAAAAATAAAAGAATGTAGCATGTAAAAGTAGTTGTCTTTTTCAGAGTCTGACATAACTGAAAGAAAATTCTATTTTATCATTTTTCAAGGGATCAACAAATTGTTTATCTTAAAAAGTATGCAATAAAGAATATACAATTAAAAATATAAATATTGTGAAAGTTTTAATCCTTGAAATAAATGTTTCTTAGATAATCGAGTACTTACTCCTATCAATATTACGTTGAAGGTGAGCAGCTACCCGATGTCTGGCATCATTGAACTCAAGGTGAAGACCAAGTCTTAGTAAGGAAGGATTCTGTTCTACGAGTTGTGTGATTTCCATTTCAATTTTGTTGCCCAACACTTGTGACCTCTAAAATAGATGTTTTCAATATATTCTCAATTTTAAATTTACAATTTTTAAATTTTAAAATAGAAATATGTGGAATTTTACCTGATTCGAACATCGGAACTCTTCAATGGATTTTGTTTTAAGAAGAGCTCTAACAAGTTTAACTATCACAGGTGGATTAATAAAATTTGTCTCAACACTGGAAAGAAAATATTTGTTCTCAATTTTAATATTATTGCAATAATAGTAGTGTAATAATAATAATAATATTAAAAAAGTTTCAAATTTACTTGAGAACTCTAAGGGTAGAATTTTTCTCGATAGCGTCTGCTAATCTTTGGCCAGTCTTATCTGTGAGTCCAACGTTCGTCAAACTCAAGGATTCAAGATGTGAATTCATTTCTAATCCTTCAAACAGTTGGATGAATTTTTCATCTGAAATATTCTGCAAAAGAAAAAGAAAATTATTAGATATAAATTTTCTTAATCATTTCTTTTATAAAATTCTTTATTAGGACTATGTTGTTGATCGATTCAAACCAACTCGACAAGACATTTAAGAAGCAAGTTTTCAAAAGATGATCAATTCATTTTTCAAAAAAATTGAGATAAGCATAAATTTAATATTTTAAAGATCTCACAAATCGGCCTGACACTATTTCGTAAAAAAATAAAAATCCTTTCTCTATAAGGTAGCAAAAATTATTAAGAATTTTCAATTTAAAAACTTTTCGACATCATCAGGATGACATAACTTTTGTTTTTTTAATGGAAAAAATTACCAAAAACTTTAAATCACTTAATTATTATAAACAGGTCGCCCACAAGTTTCAGTTTATCAATTTCCCTGACAAATATTTTAATGTAATTTTTCGAAAATAATTGAATTTCTTAAAAGAATTTTTGTATAATTTAAAAAAACTAATTAATTTTTTGATGAATTTTACATAAAAAAATTTTTAACATGATTTCTTTCTCCAAAATGTTCAAAATAATTTTAAAATGTTATTATTCTTTGTATATATTTGAATTTTCGAAAATATCTAATTGAAAATAGTAAAAATATAGAATTTAAAAAAATTAGAAGCTAATTTTCATTTTTAAATTTACATTTAAAGATTTTTCATTTAATATTTTTAATAATTCAATTATTTTCAAAATTTCCAATTCAAATTCTTCAAAAGTTGATTTTCAAATATTTGGAAAAAATTAATTATTTTTAATTAAATTTTACAAAATTTCAATTATTCAACTTTTTTATTAAAAAATTTTAATCCACTTTTATTAAAAATTTAATTATCTTAAACAATGATTAAAAAAAAATTTTTTTGAAAGATTTGTTTATATAGTTTATATAGTTTCAGTTCAATTATTTTTAAAAATTTTTAACTAAAATTCTTCTTTAAATTTTTATTTTTAATAATTTTAGACAAATTTCTTTGAAAATTTTCAAATCCTTTTGTTTTTATTTCAATTTTACGAAATTTCATCGATTATTCGGAAATTCTTCAATAAAATGTATATTAAAAAATAAAAACTTCAAATAATAAAAAAAATTCAATTAAACTTTTTTAAAAAAATTAAATCTACACAATTTTTAATTAAAAGTGTGAAAAATTCAAACAAAAAAAAGCAAAAAGTCAGTAACTAATTTAAATTAGAAACCAATTTTACTAATTCAAATTTAGATAGTTTAATATTTAATTATTATCTAAAATTTTAACTGAAATTCATATTTAAATGAATGTTTATTAGAAAATTCTACGAGAATTGAATTATTTAAATACAAAAATAAATAATTTATTGAAGAATTGGATGTTTTTTAAAATTGAACTCTTATTTAAAGAATTTTATCAACAAATTTTTAAATAGGTAATTAAAATTCTTTTGACCAATTGCAATAAAATTTTTAAAAATAATTTCATTTTTCAAGATATTAGATTAAAATTGCATTAAAAATAAATGAATCTCTGTGAAAAAATTTGATTGAATTGAGAAAAGCTTTTGAAAATAATTGAATTTCTTCGAAAAATTTTATTACTTTTGAAAAGAATTGAATTATTGTGAATAAATTTATAAAAAATTTGTAAAATAATAGTAATGTTTTATTATTTTAACTATATAAAGAGACTAATACCTTAATATTATTCCAGTTCAAATCAAGCAACGAAGGATTATCTTCCCGAACCTTCCTTATAGTTTCGTCAACGTCCGTATCATTTGGTGGATCTACAGGGTACACTTTTGGTTGACTGGCTTTTGTGATTCCATCCCAACCCATCCCAACAGGTTGTCCCGAATTTAGAAGAGACGCGTGGTACTGATCTTGATTCATCATTGAATGGAATCCAAGAATGGCTGCAATAATTCGAGTAAGTAATTATTAATCAAAAATGCAAAATTAGATTGATTGATTAGTAAAAAATGGAAATCATTGAAAAAATATTTACCAGCAAGATCGATGATTTCCTCCTGAGTAGCAGACGACAATGCCTGCTCGTACTCGTCTCCAAGGTCAATAGCGATTTGTTCATCTGCTTCCTTTTCCTTGATATTGTCTTGTGGTGGAGGCACCCACTAATTGATGAAAATGTGATCATTAGAATGAAAATATTTTTAATTTGAATTTATTTTGTATTTAAACTCACTTTCTTCCCTCTGATGACGCCAGCTACAAATGGTTTGAGTTCTGGAATATCTGGCGTTTCCAAGGCCTGCTTGTTAATGTGTTCGATGAGTTTTTTTCGATTCAGCGGTCCCGTAGGACTCTTGTCACACTCGTAACTGCAGCGTTGAGACGGTGGCATAAAACTATCCTGAAAAGTGAGAAAAATGCTGTTTATGTTCCACCATAGGAAGATTTGGTCGATATTCACTTACGTCAGGGTCTACTTCTTTGGCAAGTATGTTGATTTCCTCAGGTGTAAGTTGTGACAGCAATTCATCCACATCGACGTCGTCATATTCGCTCAAATCTTTTCCATACAGCTTCGCTGCTGTCGTCATGGTGGTTGTTTTTGTAGATGCGGATGTCTGGAAATTACACCAAGGTCGCTGATCAATAGAGGATCGTCTGGAGCTTGACGAATTTTTTCGCGAAGGCAATAAGCCTTGACGAGTCAAAGAGGTTCTTCGAGACATTATTAACTAAAGAAATAGAACTAATAAATTTATAATTCCACTCAAAGGTAATTTTCTCAAATTGTCACACAATTTAATTAAATTAACAATGATCACAGAAGAAAGTTGTATCACATAGCACTCAACTTAAACATTCTTAATCCATTTATATATGTGACTTTAAAAAAAATTAATTCTTTAATGAAAGTTAGTAAATTCTCAATTGAAATTATTCCTGATATTGGCACTGATATTTATTCTCTTTAAACAAAACATATTAAACGTATCCTGTGGTTAAGATCACGTTTAGAAAGGTACTGAAGAGCAAGTGATCGATTGATATTTAAATCCGGCAAGCTTCCAATTCGGCTGATGCCCTTTAACCCGAATAATTTGGGATCAATTTTCATTGACAATTTGTCCACTGCCAAATTAGAAATAGTAAATTAAATTAAATAAATTAAAAATACTACTTTACGCTATTTATATGTACATTATCCTGCCTTACACTGTATATGGTATATGTATACGATTGATTTCCAAAAAATTCAGTCAAATGAACTTATAACTGAAAAAATCCTTGAGTAAATAAAGTGTATGACATCACCAACAATTAGAAACCTCACCCACTTATATTGAAACGTACATCATTGACCTGTCGCGATAAAAGACAGCGCCCTTTGTCAACCATTAAAAGCATAATAAAGATGCATTTAGGTTAGAACGGTAAAAAATAATTTCTAATAACAAAATCTTAAAATTGAATAATGACATTTTTCTCGATACACTTGAAATAAAAAGAAATTGTTAATACTCATTTACCATTATATGTTCACAAACTGTTGAAATTATGCTCCGAATGATAAAAATGTCAACGTTATAAAATGTATAAAATAATATCTGACAGCTTAGCAGCGTATACATATACCAATACTGGAGAATTTTAGTGCGCAACTCTGTTCACGCATGTCGATGATTCACCATTTTTACCACCAAATTCAAATCAAATTTTATGAATTAAAATTTTTTGGATTTTATTAATTCAAAGACAGTTATTAATTTGAATATAATTTTCAATAAAACTGCAAAAATGAGTTACTATTAATCGTTGATATTTAATTTAAGAATATATAAGGCTGTGTCCACAATTCCTTTTGTGTCCTTATTTTGAACATAACATAATACAATAGATTTAAGGCTGTGTCCACAATAGGCTCATTTTATGTCCTTATGTTGAACATGACATAAAAATACGAAGAAATCTATGAAATCTATTGTATTTTTATTTATTCAACATAAGGACATAAAAAGGGCCTATTGTGGCCACACCTTATAGATTTCTTTGTATTTTTAATTTTTATGGTGTGTTAAACCTTAAACGTAGGGAAATAAGAACCCATTGTGTTGTGGACACAGCCTAATATTTTTTACTACTTTACGTACTATGTATTCGCAAATTTATCTAAAGTTTAATTAAATCAATTATATTTTCAGATCTAAAATTGTGAATCGAATTAATTGATTAGCAAATCTATATAGTAAATTTCTAATTTAAGGCCTTGCAGGTACTTATTCAATATTGTAAATAAAGTTAGTACGAAATAATCGGTCTAAAAAATAACTTGGCTTTGTTTCCTTTAAACTAATTTTAGCTTTGTTTTCTATATAAAAGGCAAGTTCAATCACCTCTTACATTATAATATTATAAACGATATAAAACTGTAAATATATAATTAATTTGGTATTTTTTAAGACAATTTAAATAACTACACTCATCACTTAATAATTTATTTTTTCATTTATAATTCATAAATAAATTATAATATTATTAACATTATAGATTACAATTAATTAAATAATTGGTTCTGATATAAAGTTTCAATCAAATTTGTATAAAATAAAAAAAAACTTTTCTCTAAAGTCAAACCAAAATAATAAACACTTTTTTGAAAGTATCAAATTGATAGCAAAGATTTGGATCAATTTTTAATTTGATCCACATTTTTGGTATCAATTTGTTACACTTTCGTTTAAATTAATAGTAAATTTGATAAGTTCGGAAATTGTATATCCGAACGAACAATTTCTATTTAAAATAATAAATCTCATTATCATTTAATTAACTCAAACAAATAAATTTAATTTTTATATTCAACTATAACAGAATTTATTTGAAACAAAGAAAAGATTTCTTTTACGTATGATTTGAAGTATATAAATATGAGAATTTTTTTGGCTTAGGATTATTTGTACATATATAACCCGGAAGTAGATATAAAATTCTTTACATATCATTCTTAAAAAAACTCAAAAACTTTAGAAAAAAACCAAAAAAAAAACTGAAATTTAAATTATTCCTATATTTGAATTTAAAAAAAATCAACTCTATTTTATATACGATGTGTAATGTATACAAAAGATGTGAATAATATTAAAAGAAGAAAAAAAAATATTAGGTGAATTAGAAAAACATCGTTCCATTAGGTGCGTGTATATTGAAATTCTCGGAAATCCCCGCGTTGTGGCGCTGCCCTCCCGCTATTAGCGCTAATTTTAAAAGGTGCTACCCTCCAGGAACTTAATGGACAACAAAAGGTGAATAAATAAATAAATAAAAATATGATTTTTGCAATATATAAACGTAGTTTTGATTAAAGATCCTGTTGTATCGCTAGCGGCGACAGAATCAGAAATAGCTGAGGCCTTCTCGCAGGCTGGCATTCTCCCAACGGTCTATACTTGGACATCCCCGCGCCATGATTATTTATAGTGAGCATGAGCGCGGCCACTGGCCTTCTTGTGAACTAACTAGCCGGTAAGCCCGTGACCTAGGCCCGCATTGGAACTTTCTTCCGAATCCCCAATTCACCTATGAAATTTCTACCGTTTGTATACAATATATTATATGTACGAATGTACGAGACACCCTTCCTTTGGCATCAAGGTAAGAATTAATAATGATAAGAAATATACAAAAGGGATGATTTTAATAGAATTACCCCGTTTTCGTTAGTTTTTATGTAAACAAACTTTCACTGCACACAAATGTTTTTGTCGTTGTTTTTGTGCAAATTTTAAAATTTATAAAACAGAAAAATTATGGTTGCGGTGACTCTTAAAATTTCTGCTGAATGGAAAAGTGACATAAGTTTTGATAAATTTCAGTTTACATTCATAAATTCTCGTTTTTATGATATTTTTGTCTAAAAAGTGTCTCCCAAAAAATGTTAGGTTATGTTTATGATCGTTTTACCTTTCATTAGTGGATCTTTTTTTAAATTTATAAAATAAACAATAGTTTTTATTGAATATTTTGGATGTAATAAGAATTTAAAAGGATCATTAATTTGCACTCAGAGTTTCTTTGTGAATTATCTCTTCGAAATTATCAACCATAACCTACAATTTTTTGGGAGATAGTAAAACTGTAAAAGGTCTGTAAAGTCCGTAATTTTTTATTAAAAAGCCAGAAATGTTCGTAAATTTAACGATATAGTTTGGAGAATTTTAGAAAAATTACAAATGATTGCAGAAATTTAATTATTATTCAAAAGTAATAAAAATTTTCGCAAAAATTCAATTATTTTCAAAAATTTTAATAAAATTCTTGGCAAAATTTCAATTATTTTCAATATTTACTATTTTAATAAAATTCTACGCAATTAATGAACTAATTCAATTATTTTCGTAAACAAAATTCTTTTTAGGAATTCCACTATTTTCATAAATAATAAAACTCATTGGAGAACGTAAATTATTTTTAATACAATTTTAATCGAATTTCCTCGAAAAATGTTAAAATTTTTATTAAAATTCGTCAAAAGATTTCAATTATTTAAGAATTTGTTGATAAAATACTTTACTAGAAATGGATTTTAAGAATAACATTCAATTATTGAATAAATTATTTATTTGTATTTAAATAATTGAATTCTAGATAGTAGATAAGTAGATTGAATATTAAAAGCAATATGAATTTTTAGAAATAATTTAATTTTGAAATTAATTTTTTTGACAACGTTTAATTGAATTTTTTTTATTATTTGAAGTTTTTATTTTCTATAATATATTTAATTGATGAATTTACGAATAATTGAAATTTCGTAAAATTGAATATTATAAACAAATGGATTTGAAAATTCTCAAAGAACTTTTTCGAAAATTATTAAAAAATAATTGATTTAGAAGAATTTTAGTTATAAAAATTGTAGAAAATTATAATTAAATTGAAATGATGAAAATAATTTTAAAGTTTTTAAGAAGTTATTTATTTATTTAATTTATTTATTATAATTGAAGAAATTACAGTAACAATATTCTTCTAATATAATAAAAATAGTGATTTTATCACTCATACATCTTTAATTATTATAAAATATAAAGATATTGATCACTCCGAGTAGAAGACTCGGAGTTATCTATATCTTCATGTTTTATAGTTATGAAAAATTTAATTGCTAGTTGTAAGTCAAATGTTCTCTTATTCAACTCGGACTTATATTTTTGTCAGTAATTGGTCCGTAAATGATCCGTATTTTTTCTTTTTTGGTCCGTAAAGTTCGTATTTTTAAATACTTTCATTGAGAGTAGTTGTAAAGTAGTCGAATCTACTAAAAATTTTGAGTGTATCATAAATAAAAAAAAAAACAAAAGAATGGATGTAAATTAATTCAAACTTTCGTATAATATGAAAACAAAAAAGAGGAATACACAACATTGTTAAATTTTGAAAACTTTTTTCAAAAACTAAATATATATAATCTGTGGCTACTCATAAGTAAAGTATGTATATTATGAAAAACACGTTTATTTGAATACATTTAAAAACCATACACGTGCTTCCGTATGAAAATGATCAAATTTCGATATATGCATACAACATATTCTTTTGGAATAAATTGTAATAAATTTAC